TAAGCCCACCTTCCAGCTTCAAGTATCATTTGTATTCGTCTTCCTCTCAGCCCTTTCATGATCTGTTTGGAACATAAGGCACATATGGGAAGATGTAGCAATTATAAAGTGCTCAGCTCAATTAACTAGCACAAGGTGAATTTGGTGGTGTAATTGTCACCCACCTCAAGAAATATAACTTTACCAGCTCTTCAGAAGCCCCTCTTGCCACTGTAATACTATGCTACTCCTTCCCATAGGAAACCATTAAAACAATTGGTTTTTCCAGTTTTTAAACTTAATGGAATCATATATTGGCTCTTTTGTCTCTGATTTCTTTCGTTCAGCATTACAGTTGTGATAGCTATCCAGGTTGTACCATGTAGCGGTGATTTTATTTTTTCTGTACAAATAATCCATTTTATGATACACTACAATGTATATATGTATTTTACTTTTGATAATATTTGGGTTTTCATTTTGGATTGTCATGAACATTCTTCTAGATACCTTTGATGCACATGTTACAAGCATTTCTGTTGAATATATACCTGGAAACGCAGTATGTGAATGGTTAATTTAGCTAATGCCAACAATTTCTCAAAGTGATTGTAGTCACTTACGCTCCCTTCAGAAGTGTGGAACATTTGTGTCACTCCACATCTTCCTTCACTCTTGATATTACCAGTCTTTTTTACATGTTAGCCATTTTGTTGGGTATGTCGCAAGTGTAGTCATTTTATTTCCCTGATGATTGATAGGAGAGCACCTTTTCATACATTCATTGGCTGCTGGGATATCCTCTTCTATGAAGTGCCTATTCAAGGCCTTTACCCATTTTTCTGTTGGTTTGTATTGATTTATGAAGGTTCTTTATGTTATGTCAGCACAAATCTTTTGCCAGTTATCCATATTGCAGATATCTTCTCCCACTTTCTGTATTGACTTTTCACTCTTACTGGGTTTTTTGGTGAACAGAAGTTGTTAATATAATTCTATGATTCATTACTTTCCTTTATGATTTATGCTTCTTTGTGTCCTATTTAAGAAATCTTTCCCTACTTTAAAGACTTGAAGATATTTTTTGGTTACTGTCTAGAAACTTTGTTACTGATTTTTTCACATTAAGACCTACAGTCCATCTAGAATTGATTTTTATGTTTAGTATGAGGGTTAAGATTTTTTTCCCATATGGATATGTTTTTGACCTTGCACCATTTATTGAAAAGGCTGTCTTTCCTACTGCTCTATAATGTCACTCTTGCCGTAAATCAAATATTCAGATAGGTATATCTGTTTCTGCACTCTATTTCATTCATTTTTCTGTCTTTACACCAGTACCATTAAGTAAAATTGTCATAGTTACTGTAGTTACTATTTTTTTTTTTTTTTGAGACGGAGTCTGGCTCTGTCGCCCGGGCTGGAGTGCAGTGGCCGGATCTCAGCTCACTGCAAGCTCTGCCCCCCGGGTTTACGCCATTCTCCTGCCTCAGCCTCCCGAGTAGCTGGGACTACAGGCGCCCGCCGCCTCGCCCGGCTAGTTTTTTTTGTATTTCTTTAGTAGAGACGGGGTTTCACCGTGTTCGCCAGGATGGTCTCGATCTCCTGACCTCGTGATCCGCCCGTCTCGGCCTCCCAAAGTGCTGGGATTACAGGCTTGAGCCACCGCGCCCGGCCAGCTTTTGTTTTCTTAAATAATTTGATTGTAGAGATTGGGTCTTACTATGTTGCCCAGGCTGGTCACTCCTGGCCTCAAGTGATCCTCCTGTGTCAACCTCCCAGAGTGCTAGGCGTGAATCACATACCCAGCAACTGTAGATTTTTGATCCATATTAATATCTGGGAGAGTAATTTCTCCTACTTTTTCTTCTTTAGGATTGCCTCAACTCTTCTTGGTCTTTTACAAATCCATATACATTTTAGATTTGTTAGTTCTCTGTTACCTTCACATATATTTGTTTATATTTTTTTCTTTCTTTTTAAAAACAAGCACAATCCAGAATTCACACTTACTACTTCCACTCACATCCTAGTGGCCAGCATAATTATGTGACTATGTCTAGCTATAAGGGAAGCTTGAGAAATAAGTCTTTAGCTTGTGGACTATTTGCCCAGCTAGAGCTGTCATTGTGGCAAAAGAGAGAACAGATACTGAAAGATAATTAGCTTTCTGCCACACCATTTGAGGTCCTTTTAAACTGGATGCAGTCTCACAGTTTTTATTCTTCCCCTCCCACCTCCACTGTGGCTCACTTTATACATTGAACCTTCTCTGGCTTTCCCCAATCACATCCTCCTACAGCATGAAGCATAGGTTCTGCAGATGGTTCTTTCTGGGAACTACCCAATGTAGTAAATGTCTGGGAACTACCCAACCCAAAGGGGCAATGAATTGAGTATATTTATATGTGTGAGTCTAACTAGTTCTTTCATACAAGGGCTCTGACTATTCCTGTAGCAAGTGTTTTTGCAGTATATAATTGAATCACTGATATAGAACATGCAAAAATACATCTGACGTTTTAACTTTGTTAGTGGTAGATTTTCCCTATTTTCTTACTTCAAAATAACCTGCAATTTTGTAAGTTTATTGCAATGCAAATATGGGCACAAAATAGGAAATACTTTTCTAGGCAGGAAATAGGAAAAGAAAAACAATGGAAAAAATTAGAGTTGCAGAGCATAATGTCCTCAAGTTTCATCCATGTTGTAACATATATCAAAATTTCCTTCCCCTTTAAGGCTGAATAATATTCCATTCACATGTATGTGATACATACATACAAGATGTATATGTGTATATTACATTTTGTTTATCTCTTCATCCATTAGTTGACACTTGGGTTGCTTCCACGTCCTAGCTATTTTGAATAGTGCTGTTATGAACTTGAGTGTACATATAAATCCTAGAGATCTTACTTTCAGTTATTTTGGATGTATACCCAGAAGTAGAATTGCAGGATTATGTTTGAGTTTGTTTGCTTTTTTCCTATTGATGTGAAAGTTAGAGATCTAACTGAAGTTAAAAAATAACAAATCTTTTTTTTTTTTTCTTTTTTTTTTCCTCGCTCCTTCGCCCAGGCTGGAGTGCAGTGGCGCGATCTCGGCTCACTGCAAGCTCCGCCCCCGGGGTTCATGCCATTCTCCTGCCTCAGCCTCCCAAGTAGCCGGGACTGCAGGCGCCCACCATGCCTGGCTTATTTTTTTGTATTTTTAGTATAGATGGGGTTTCACCATGTGTTAGCCAGGATGGTCTCGGTCTCCCAAAGTGCTGGGATTACAGGTGTGAGCCACTGTGCCCGGGCCCCAAAAAATCTTTTTAAAAGCAGAATTACAATGAATGAAATGATTTTTAAAAACTAACTTTGTGGCTTTTTGGATTAATTCACTCTATTTTTTTTTAAGGACTTGAGTTGTTTTTATTTGCTATTTCCTGTTTATATTTTTGTGAATTGGTAGCATATTGTCAAGAGTTTCAAATTCATTTATCATTCTGTTACATGGGGGAAATTGTAAGTAATCTTTCAGGAATTAAAAATTTACTTCAATAGTAAAGTTGATTTTGAAATTTAAGCAAGAATTTTGCAGGTATTCTGTTTTGAAATACTGCTAGACTGTTTATGTAGAAATAAATGTCAGAGCAGAGGAAGCTTACTCGATTAGAAGTAGACTGATTCTACGTTTTAGTTCTATCTCTAGGTCACTTCAACTTTCTAAGATTCAGTGTTCTCCTCCATAGGTAGTTATTTATCTACCTACCTCAGAGTGTGAGAACCAAACAAGATAATGTTTCTGAGAGTCCTTTAAGAATATTAATTCCTCTGTTATTTTGAAGCATTAGTAAACAAATTTGGTGATACTATGATTTTGAAGGATAGCAGGTAATAACCTTCTTTAATACCATAACCAATTAGAATGGTAGTTTACCTCAAAGCAATATACACCAGTCTCTTTGTGGTATCTTTGAAAAGTATTTTAATTCAACTGAAAGAGAGAAAAATGATGATGTTAAGGTACTTAACTTGGCTCATGGTAATACTAAACTGAACTGATGGCATGGAATCATTGGTCTTTATATATGCCCCTGGGGGAAAATGTTTAAAAACAGAAAGTTTTACATTTCCCCTCAAAATTGAAAAAAAGTACATTATGTCTTACAAATACTCCTCTTTGAGTTTACGTTCCGTGAAAGCAGCAACCTGTTATATTCCGTCTAGTGCGTAGCACTTAAGCACAGTAAATGCTTAGTAAATATTAGTTCAGTTGAACTGAATATTTATACTCATTCATAATTATAAGTAAAAAGAGAGTCTGTTTGTCATGAAATAACATTCCTTCCCTCTTTTGCTGCCACTGTATCATCCTAAGTGCCTATGCACAACTGTCCTCTGACATAGCTACTACCTTGTACCTAATCTAAAAATTTAATTTTGCTATGGTTTCTGCAGACTTTCTAATCGAAATCTGAACTAAGTGTTAAAAATACTACAGTGGAGAATGAAAATTCTTATTTAAGGTTATGATAAAATACATTTGTGGTTGGGCACAGTGGCTCACACTTGTAAGCCTAGCACTTTGGGAGGCCGAGGATTGCTTGAGGCCAGGGATATTTGAGACCACCCTGGGCATTGTAGCAATACTCTGTCTCTACAAAAAAATTTCGAAAAAGATTAGCCAGGTGTGGTAGTGCACACCTGTAGTCCTAGCTACTTGGGAGGCTGAGGTAGGGGGTTCACTTGAGACTAGGAGTTTGAGGTTTCAGTAAGCTCTGAGTGTGCCACTGCACTCCAGCCTGGGTGACAGAGCAAGACCATGTCTCAAAACAAACAATAGCTAGATATAGTTGTATTATCTGAGCATGTTTAAGTAATATTTCACTGTAAAAAGATATTTGGTACATCATAGAAATTTTCTTCAAATGTGAATTTTATAGCTTTTTCATCCTTTTTATTGATAGGTCACCTATGGAGAATACTATGTTTACAACTTTCCTGGACTAAATCTTATTTTATCATTTTCAGGGTTAGTGAAGATATGAAATTAACTGACTCAGAGCTAGGAAAGCTGGCAAATAATATCCAGGAATTATTATATAGTGCCTCAGATATATGCCATGATCGAGCTGTCAAATTTCTCATGTCAAGAGCAAAGGTAGTTATTTTCATAAAGCTTTATATATTTTATATTTTATACATAATAATTTTGAAGATCTGGAATTATGTCTTTGCTTCCTATGTTCCCCATAATGTATATTATATTTTTAACATTTAATGTAATGTAATGACCTAGTCAGTGTTACCACTGATGTGGTCTGCTAGGGAGATGTTGAGATATAAAATAATCTAAATAAAAGAAATAGGAATTATTAAAGCAGTATTTTCAGATAAATGATTAAATGACTTATTTTGAAATATATGTTAATAACTAATTTGAAATTAATGTTGTTTTACATATATATGTATATGTATGTATGTATACCTAAATATATGTAGTTAAACAAGTTTATAATAAAACTCCAACATTGTGAAAATTTTATAGTATGATCTAAATTCATTTGAACTACTATATTAGTTATAAAGGGATCAGAATCAAATTTGGACCTCTTAAGCATTTCATGCTCAATTTCTGGGTCTAAAGTATTGGGAAATATTATTAAAATAAAAATATAATTATTGTTAAACCTTAGTCAATTTGGTGTTACACTAACTCTCATGATTTTTGTATTAAAATTTAGGATGGTTTTCTTGAGAAGCTAAATTCCATGGAATTCATAACACTTTCTAGATTAATGGAAACATTCATTTTAGACACCGAACAGATCTGTGGAAGAAAAAGCATGTCGTTACTTGGAGCACTTCAGAGCCAAGCTAATAAGTTTGTAAATAGGTTTCATGAAGAGAGAAAAACCAAGCTCAGGTATCATCACCATGTCTGTTCTGTTCTTTGTTTTTTTTCATTTTTCTTTGTGAAACACAGTTATATTTAAAAGAGTAAACTTAATTGGCCAGTGAAAATGCCTGATAAAGGTTTTTTTAATTAAAGGCAGATTGTGGAATTAAAATCACATTTCTTGGCTTTTCAAAGCTGAGTTAGAATGCTTACTTCTATTAAAATACTTATCAGGAAAATCCTCAGTAAGTTGACTTTTTTGCCACTGAAAGTTAAGTAAATTGTTTCATCATTCTTTTTGTTTAGGCTGAGATATAAAAAGAGAACTATTTTCTAAGTATTGGTCCTGCTTATGAATGATTCCAGTTTATTAAAGTGTTCAGCACTTTTTAAGTCTTATGTTCTCATTCAGCTCTTCTTCCTTTTCTTTTAAACCAAGGAAGATGGTATTGAAATGTTAAAGTTTACCTTCTTTTCTCTTTACTGTGGACTAGCCTCCTCTTAGACAATGAGCGCTGGAAGCAAGCAGATGTTCCTGCAGAATTTCAGGATCTTGTTGATTCTATATCAGATGGGAAGATTGCTTTACCTGAAAAAAAATCAGGAAGTATGTGTATTCCTTCACACATTCTCTTTCAATTTTATATTGTTTATTCATTTTGTATTAATGCTTAATATTTCTTTAATTGACAGTGCCTATTTCAAAGCTAGAACCAATATTTCCAGCTTAGTAAATACTTGACAGGAAATCTGTGGTAATTTATAATAATGATTTCAAATATTTATTGTGTGTTATAACCATATGCCAGACACTGGACCATGTTCTTTACATGCATTACTCCAGTTCATTCTCACAACGATCTGTGATACAGATACTATTGTTACTTTGTGTAACAGTGAGGAACCTTGAGGCTCAGAAGGGTTAAGGAATTTTTATACAAATGATGAGTTGGGATTTGAAACCAGCTTTATGTAATTTCATAGCTATGTTCTTAGCTACTATACCATATTGTTTGCATACATATATTGAGTAAGCACTAGTTAGCTTCTACTTTGTGTCCTATATTGAGACAGAGTTGAGACAGAGATAACAGCTATAATTCTGCTTTAAAGAGGCTAAGTCTAATGAACAAAACCAAAAAATATATAAGCAATCCTAAGTAATGTAGTTACACGATAGCAAAAGTCCAAACGTAAAGAAAGAAAACCATGAAGGGGACAAAAAAGGAAGAACCACAGAGGTAGGGAGAAATCTAGAACATAGAAGTAAAATGATGAGAGAGTTGTCACTGGTATCGAATACCAGTTGAGTTTTCATGTGGAAGAGATGGCTGGGAAATACTTTTGTACACTAGTTCAGGTGGAGTCATCGTGTGATAATAATGTAAATTTATTTACAATAATCCTATAAGATTTACAATTATGAAATTCTTGAGTATTCTAATAGAGGAGGTAGTTGCACTATTTCAAATTTTATGCATTTAATCAAAGTTTTACATTTCTACACAGAAATATTTTTAAATTGTATACTTCACAGTCGCACAAAATGCAGCTAGACTAAAAGAGAAAGACTTGAGTAAAATACAAACAGTAACCATTAGTTTGATACATAGATCATTTGCAATCTCAGTAATTCAGTGGAGTGATAGTCAAATTGCAGTTCAGTGCTTAGTAACTGGAAAAGTGAGGAAGGGTAGACAAGTATAGACTACTTTTTCAACAGATTTGGTTGTGAAGGAAAAGTGAGTGATGAAATAGTAGCTAAAGAAGTTAGAGAGGGAGGGTGATTTATGGGGCAAGGTGCATGGAGTCGAATCCAGAGTTTAAGAGAAAGGCTACTACTTCTGCCCCTGTGACAAGGGGAGGAGGGTTAAGGACAAGTATAAAACAGATTAGTTGATATAGGGCAGAGAGAAGAATTGAAGAAATTAGGTAAATTTTTGTCATATGACAGTTTTTAATAGGTAATAGCGTTGGGTGGTAGAGTTTTCTAACTGTATGATACTGGCACAACTAAAGCATTCAACTAGCAAGAGCTGATGGAAAAATAAAACACTCTGACCATTCTAAATCACTAGTTTAAAATTGTAAGACTTATCACTCATCTAGTCTTTCAATCTGTATTTAATTGACTTCTCTCTATGTGAGGTGGTGTGCTAGATGACTAGGATATATTTTCTGTCCCTGAACAGCTCATGGTCTTTTGATTCCACTGTTAAGCAAACAGAGTGATTTCTGAATTAAAATCGTAAATGTGGAATAATTGAATTAATCGTGTATTTTGTTTGAAACATGAACTATTTATTTTCACTTCTTTGGAGGATATTGATGGTAGGACGTTTCTCTTACATACCTTTCTTCTCAGTCTTTTTTTTCCTCTCTGAATAGCATAGATGTATGCTATTAGAAGTCCATTAACATTTTACTAGTTCTTTTCAAGTTAAGGATCCTGGATTATTATCTATTTATCCATGGTATATTAATTGGGTTACTAGCCACTCAGCTAGGCATTGGAGAAATGAAGGTTAATGGATAGCAGCTAATATTATTTGAGTATTTACTTACACTGTTTTGTTCTAAGTATTTTACAGGTGTTATCTCATTTACAGGTCCGTGAGCTAGACATTATTAGTATTCCTATTTTACAAATTTAGAAACTAAGGCATAAAGAGGTTAAGCAAGTTGCCTAAGTTTACATAGCTAGGAAGTGGTAGAGCTGGGATTCCAGTCCGGGCAGACTGACTTTAGGGCCATTTCTCTTTTCTACTATGCTATGCCACTTCTCTGTAATATAGAGAAGTGATGAAGACACAGTCCTTACCCTAAAAAAATATACATCTGACATATGTAGTAAATTGTGATTGGAATATATATAGCTCTCAAATATTCAAATGTATATACAAATCCCATAGGGCCTTGAAGCTTAGGGAAGCATAATGAGTTGCCTATGGTGATCTAATCAATTTGGCTTATCCAGGATACAATCAAGTCCACTGTTCTTTTCACCTCAATATGCTGAATTTTGTTTAAAGAAATATCACATGCTGAAAATAACTTCTGGGTTGAAGTATTAAAAATTAAATACATATCTTTCCATCAAATTTAGAAATTAACTTGTATTCAATAATGATAATAGTAAAGACAACCAATTTAAATGCTAGTTCTGCCTTTCCAAACCTAGTAACTTTTAAAAAAACTATTTGCTGATCATTTACCTTGTGCCAGTCCTAAGGGATAGGCAATTCATAATAATTATTTCTACCATTAACAACAACCCTGAACGATACTGTTGTCCACATTTAATAGATTCAGGTAGTGATACTCAAAAGAGGTTAAATAATTGCCCCGAAGTCATGTATCCAGTAATTGGTAGTACTGGTACTCAAATCCAGATCTCTCCAACTTCCAGTATACTTTATTTACTATGTGTCAGATAGTTTCCCAGGAAGTAGATGTTTATTTTCAGAAATGAGATAGTTTTAGGCCTTAAACAGGAACTATCTTCTTCAGCTTTTTCTCCATTATTTTGTTTCATCTGGTACTCTTGTCTCTCTTGTTTATTTGCTCTACTCTCTAGCCACAGAAGAAAGGAAACCAGCTGAAGTTCTTATTGTTGAGGGACAACAGTATGCAGTTGTTGGGTGAGTGACACATTTTTCTTTAGTTGTTGAGTCAACTATTTAAAACACAAGTCTTCTAGTTCTCCCTTGAAGTGAATTGGAAATTTTGGATTCACAATTTTAACAATGTTGAACTTCAGTTAACAATTTTAAATCCTACGAAGAACTTAAAGGAAACTTTATGGATTTCTTTATCTTCTCTATTCTGTAGCATACATTATTAAGGACTACACTGGCTTGACACAAAAGGCTTGATTTTTCTCATATAACAAGAAATCTAGACAACCCAAGAGTAATTGTAGTGGATCCCTGATATTATTACCATCCCAGGCTCTTTCTATCTTTTCTTCCATTGCTTTCTTAGAGTGTACCATAGCATAGTAGTTTAAGTTGTGGACTCTGGAATCCACACAATGTGGAAAATAGTACTATACACAGAATTATTGTGAAAATTAAGTAATTCGTGTAAAGCATTTAGCACAGGTCTAGCACCTAGTAAGTTGATAGTTGTTGGTAGTTATTTTCATTGGCATCATTTGATTCACTAGATCTTTTACCAATAAAAGTATCTCAAATTCAAGTTAACTAAGAAGCATACAAATTCCATCATTTTTTGTTGAGTACTATGTCTTTTATTAAATTGGTAATTAAAGTATATCTTAATATTCTTTAACAGTACTTCACAGCTTAAGTGTTTTCATATATATGTGATCTCATTTGATCTTTACAACTACATTGTAAAATAAAGATATTGGGGATTATTATTTCCTTTCTACACTATGAGAAGAAGCTTAGAAGATTAAGTGGTTCAGGTGACCCAAATGGAGTCAGAATTAGAATCTAGGTCTAACTCCCAGTATCTACACCAACATTCTTTTTCACTTTTCTTCTTTAGTTCTTGTCACTGTGTAAGCGTTTTTTGAAATGGCCACCCCCTCCAGGAAGAATGTAATTCTATATCCCTCAATTATGGCACTTACCATAGTATAATTGAATTATTTATTTATGTATATGTTTTCTAATTTGGCTCTGAATTCCTCAGAGATGGAGATCAGGTCTTACCATTTTTATTTTTCTTGGCACGATAATAAGCACTCAAAAAGTATTTATAGAATTAATCCTGTTTCTGAATCTGTATTCAGATACCTGAAGTCCACACATTCTAAACTAAAGCCTCCATTCATTTCTCTTCTAGAGTCCTTCCCTATTTCTGGTAGAGAAAACTTTCTTCAGTCCTCCTGTAATCCCATCCCTTCAATCTAATTATGATTTCCCTCCTTAACTACTGGTTATCTGGTTGCTCTTCACTTGCTTGATGGAAATGGTCCCCTCTGGCCATCTTGCTTTTGGTTTTTTAGGCAAAGAGTCGGTTGACAAAAAACTGAAATCCCTGGCTAAAGGAGAACTATTATAATATCTGAGACACAATTACAAAAGATAAGCAAGGGACTCATGCTCAGTGAGGCAGACTCTACGAGAAATAAGCATAGAGACCAGTATGCATATATGGTCTGACAAGCTGTAATAAAGGCTAGACACCATCTTTCTTGAATCATTAGTTCCTGATATCCTTCAGGCTTTTATAAATCCTTATTTTACATAGATCTCATTTCTGAGCATCTCATAGAACTTAGATATCCTATGATAAATGGCTTTCTCCTTAATTTCAATCTTATTTAACCTCCCAGTAGTGTGTCTTTTCAATGTGTGATTTGTCCTAATATGGAAGTGATAACTTTAACTTTATCATCTTTGGAGAACTTCTTTTTTTTTTTTTTTTGAGACGGAGCTTCGCTCTTGTTGCCCAGGCTGGAGTGCCATGGCGTGATCTCAGCTCACTGCAACCTCTGCTCCCAGGTTCAAGTGATTTTCCTGCTTCAGCCTTCTGAGTAGCTGGGATTACAGATGTGCGGCACCACGCCAGGCTAATTTGGAATTTTTAATAGAGACGGGGTTTCTCATTGTCAGGCTGGTCTCGAACTCCCGACCTCCAGTGATCCGTCCACCTCGGCCTCCCAAAGTGCTGGGATTACAGGTGTGAGCCACCGCACCTGGCCAGAGAACCTTTTGTGACCCACCAATAAAATTCTTAGGAGATATGTTTTCCTTAGAAGCATTATAGTTTTTTTTTTTCATCTCACTAAGAAAATCTGGGTTTGGTTTTCTTCATCAATTCATTAGTTATGATGGGGGACCTACTATATTGGTAATCAGAAACACTGAATAGGCTTTTTGTCAATGTTTCTGAATTGGCTAAGGGTTGCAATACCTGTCTTATTGAAGCGACTCCCTTAATAAGAATGCCATACAGAGAGTGTTATGCCTGTTGTGCAGAATTTAAGGAGCCACTCATTCTCAGTGTTGTGCAAGCTGATCCTGCAATTGCACAGAGTAAGTGCCTCTTTAAATTTTGCATTCTAGACACCTCTCTTGTCTTGTGTTAGTCAAGAACCTGCCGTACTACTAGGTAAAATATATACTTTAACAGTTACCAAGATCATTATATTCTCAGAGATCCTTTGTGCCATTAAGTAATTTGATTTTTATATGCCAAATCTTTTTTATTTTTCTTGTTTTGATTTCCTATTGGGCCATTTTTCTTTTCTTGTAGAACCGTATTGCTGTTAATAAGAATTATCCTTGAATATTGCCAGTGTGTGGATAACATCCCATCTGTTACTACTGACATGCTTACTCGTCTGTCAGATTTATTGAAGGTGTGTATGACTTCATTATGGAAAAATTGTTTGAAGAATTAATACATTAGGGTGTGACTAATCTTTTAACTCAGAGACATTTCAAGGTCAAGTTATCTTTAAGACGTTAGTTTTTTAACATTTGATTGTGGTTGAATCACAACATGTTGTTGGAAACAGGCTGCTTGCTTCCTTCTTACTCCACAGTTAGTGATCCTCATTCACCCATAGAGTTGTTAATGACATTGGAGACAGGAGATGATTTGTTTGTTAGGTGCTGAATATGACTGAGGCCACTTAGGTCAAAAAACCTGGACTGGCTTCAAATGTGCATGGAAGGAATTCACTGAACTTTACAAAATTCACCTCACTAAGGTTAGAGATTTTTCTTGCATCATTCTTTCAGAACCATTGATATAAAATGAAAATGTGATGATTTTATTCAGCCATTTCATATTGAAATATTTTAAACTACCAGTACAGAGGAAAGGCTTTATTATTTTTTTCAAGCCTCTAATCTATTAATTCTGTTCTGACTTGAGTTGTCATGTTTTAGCGGAGAAAGATTTTTATAACTTTTGAAAATAGAACTTCCCAACAAGAATGACTGAAACCGAATTTGTTTTGTAAATGCAAATTGAAGATTAATTTCTGTGAACTGATTTTTAGAATTTTTCAACTGTTTCTTATGAGTAAATATTATCATTTAGAATCTCCCCTTCTCATTTCTTTTTCATTAAATAAATAGATACTAATTGCTTCTACTAGATAATTCATTTGGCCATTGAATGAGAGGAAAGGGGGATGTATTTTTATAACAGCACGTTGCCAGGATATAAAGAATAGTTTTTAATAAATTTGGGGTTTTTTCCTCCTTCTTTTGTTAGTACTTCAATTCAAGAAGTTGCCAGTTAGTTCTTGGAGCTGGTGCACTGCAAGTTGTTGGACTAAAAACGATAACTACAAAAAATTTGGGTATGGATTCTTGCATTTAATTCATTTGCTGAAGTGTTGACATTGATGTCACTGTACTCATCATGTTTTTTTATACCTGATGTTTTCATGGCTGTAACCAAAGTGGCATTACTCTAAAAATAAATGCTACTTACTCTTTTATGTATACTCATCACTGAAAACACTAACCGTGGGGAAAAGGTTACGATGCATTTCTCCTCCAAGTGTAAGTTACTTGGAAGTTACACCACTCTGTTACACCACTCTAGAAAATATTAAGATGTAATGTGTATAAAGTATTTGGGGGTGAAAGGTATCTGAATGTCAGAAGAGAATCAGTTGTCTTGTTATTGTGATACTGATAATACAACTTGAGTCCTTTGTGAAGGCAGCATGTTCGTTACATTATTCAGTATCAAATTATTAAAATGAAATATGTTGCCTTCTGCCATAGTGCTCTTCATTTATGAAATAAACTGGATCTTTATAAGTAATGTTTTTTATTTGATTTGATTTGTAATTAAAATCAACTAATGTATTTTTTTAAAATCTCTCCATTATATATCCACTCCCTGGACCTTCAGCTCTTTCTTCACGATGTTTGCAGTTAATTGTGCACTACATTCCTGTGATCCGGGCTCATTTTGAAGCTCGACTACCACCTAAGCAATATAGCATGCTTAGGCATTTTGATCATATCACTAAGGTACTTTTTCATATATTTTTTATTGGAGTTTCATAAGTTTAGATCCTTAATTGTTAAGTATTTTTTAAATGTGTCCCAGGGACTTAAAAATACAATATCATTTCTCATTGCAGGACTACCATGATCACATAGCTGAAATATCAGCTAAGCTTGTAGCGATAATGGATAGCTTATTTGACAAGCTGTTATCTAAGGTAATGATTTATAGAAATTATTAGACTTTGTTCAAAGGCATTATGATTATCTATTTTATAAGGAGTACTTTATAAATTAAGATGTGAAAAAATAATCTAAACTTTCATAGGATATTTACCAATTAGTAGAATTTTAAATTTTTTTTCAGGAAAATGTGACAATGTGCTGTGGCCAGGACCACCCATAGTGGTCTAACCTGCAGTTATCTAACAAATTATTCAGGGTTTAGAAAACAACTCAACAAAATTTTCAGATTTCCAAAACAGTTGATATTCTTATTCTAAGGGGCTGGCGAGAGTAGGAGAGATGATTCTAAGGATGGTAGAAACCCTAAGCAGAAGTATTTTTATGTTAATTCATTTCAATATTCATTTCTTGTTTGTTTTTCATTCCCAATATGTCATTAAATGAAGCAGTGTTCCCCAAAGAATTCGCAATTATACTGGGAGAGTATCTTCAGAAAAATGTCATTTAGTCAGCCCCAGTCACTCTTGATCTGTCTTTCACTCTTTCCTTTCCCTAAGTTTTTCAATTCATGTCTTAGGGGGAAAGCCAAAATTTCATTACTTGAAAGTCTGAAAGTTTACTCACTGTATACTTTCTGTCCAAGATCATATTTGGAGTAACCTTAATAGCAAGGAACTTTGATTTGCTTTTTATCCTACTTGCATCCTTCAGATTCCGAAATGACAGAACAGCAGGTACATAAGAATCAAAAGGGCAAGATAAAGTGGTGCCCGTTCACTCACACAAGACTACGCAAACACATACTCTATTAGCCTTCAGAAGAATTATATCACAAGTCATCTAAAAATCCCCACTGTTCAATCATGAGAGAATAACAGTAAAATAGATAAATAACATCTTATTAATAATATTATTATGAAAGTGACTTTTACTTCCCGGATTCCTTGAAAGGGTCTCTGACTCCCAGGAATCCCCAGACTACACTACACCTCTGGTGTAGTTGATAATACAGATGTTTTATGCTTCACTTTTAAGAAGCTTAAGGAATTCGTCGTTATGTACTAACATACCTATACTATGTTATGCCTATTACATTAGTTTCTAGTCATGAAGGGAGAAAAATTGCTGTTTAGAGATGCTTTATTTTCTTCATGGGTGCTAAGTACAAGCTACATTCAAAAGCAATTCTACCAGTTTCCTTTTTGATATATAGCATTCTTCTGTGTACCAAAAGTCAGTAACATACTGTGTCAGTTCTCAAGAAGCTTACCATCTAACAAGGTAGAATACTGTAAACAGCTAGCAGTGGAAAATAAAACATATGTTAAATAGTGGAACTAGGCTGGGAATAGTGGAACTAGGCTTGAGTCCAGGAGTTCCAGCCTGCAGTGAGCTGTGATCATCCCACTGCACTCCAGTCTAGGTGACAGAGCAAGACCCTGTCTCTAAAACAAACAAAAAAATTAGTGGAACTATTAATAGGCTGTGGAATGTAATGAAGAAAAACCAAAAATGTGCTAGTACTCTTAAAACTCTGACTTTAGTCTGTCACTTTGGTCATCCACAGAGTTTTTGAATAAGAATTGTCACAGTGACTAGACTTTTTCCTCTGGCAACTTAGTCTTTTTTCTGTAAAGAAAAGAGAATTGTTTAATGAACTTCCCATGTATGCATCACCTATATTTGTTATTAACAATTTGCCTTTTTTGAGAAAATATTTTATAATAAATTCAGGCGTTATGGTATTTTGTCCCTAAATACCTAAGTATGCATTTTTAAAAACTAAGAACATTTTTACATAACCACACTATTATCACACCTAACAAAATTGACAATTCCTCAAAATCATCTAATATTTATTTTCCGATTTGAAACTTATTAATTGTCCCAAAAATGTCTTTTTATAATAATTTGTTTGGACAAAGGCTTCTGCACGGTTCACAGATCACATTTAGTGGTTATGTCTCTTAAGTCTCTTAAGTCATTTAAAAATATATATATCATTGACCTGTTGAAGAATATGGACAGGCTTTTATAACATAATGTTCTCTCTAGTATCTTCTCCATTGATGGTTTTTCCTATTACTCTGGCATATTACATTCTTCCTGTGTTAACAAGTCTCTCTTTGCCAGTCCGTGTTCTGTTTGCTTTCGTATGTTGCTCAGGAGTTTGACCCTGTTTTTAATTAATATCAAAACAGCAGACAGTGTTTGGTTTGGGTTTGCCTTTCAGTTTTTAACCTTTCATGTTCATATCTGAAAATATAATTTTAGGGAAGAAGGATGACACAGTAACATATGGGTTGATTCTAAGAAGCTAATAAGTGGCCATGCATGGTGGCTCAAGCCTGTAATCCCAACACTTTGGGAGACTGAGGCACGTGGATCACCTGAGGTCAGAAGTTCGAGACCAGCTTGGCCAGTATGGTGAAACCCTGTCTCTACCAAAAATACAAAAAAAATTAGCCAGGCGTGGTGGTGGGCACCTGTAATCCCAGCTACTCGGGAGGCTGAGGCAGGAGAGTTGCTTGAACCCGGGAGTGGAGGTTGCAGTGGGCCAAGATGGCACCATTGCACTCCAGCCTGGGCAACAAGAGCGAAACTCTGTCTCAAAAAAAAAAACAAAAGCGGCCAGCGTGGTCACTCACACCTGTAATCCCAGCACTTTGGGAGGCCAAGGTGGGTGGATCATGAGGTCAGGATTTCAAGACCAGCCTGGTCAAGATGGTGAAACCCCGTCTCTACTAAAAATACAAAAATTAGCCGGGCATGGTAGCAGGTGCTTGTAGTCCCAGCTACTCGGAGACTATGGCAGAGAATTGCTTGAACCCGCGAGGTGGAGTTTGCAGTGAGCCAAGATTGCGCCACTACACTCCAGCCTGGGTGACAGAGCAAGACTCTGTCTCAAAAAAAAAAAACAAAAAAGAAAGAAAGAAAGCAGCTAATAAGTAAGGGTACCATTGCCTGGGTAGAATGAAACAATATCTAACTGTACTAAAAGGTAGACTAATGTTCCAACCACCATTCATTTATTCATTCATTCTGTAAGTTATGTATTAATATAAACTGTTTTGTTCAGTATCAGGGATACACAAGGGTGAATAAACCTTTGACCTTGTCCTCCAATAGCAAAATATTTAGTTGGGGAAGTAGATCAATAACTATGACAGGATGTAGGATATATGTAAAGTGTTATAAATAAGGGACTAATTTAGTGCTGGAGCTTTTAAGGCTTTGAAAGAGATGGTTGTCAGCTGGTGAAGAAGATCTGGGAAAGCTTTATCAATGAGGCATGCATATAAATTTTGCTTTTAAGGATAGATAAGATGAAGGCAGATGAAGTTGAGGTGAAGAGATCTCTGAGGTAATAGCATAAGCAAACATGTTGATAGAAATCTTAAGGCAATTCATTATCAGAGTTTTGGAGTCAGGTAGACCTAAATTCAAATGTCTTGTCTGTCACATACTAGCTGTTGAAGGACCTTGGGCAAATTATTAATCTCCTTAAGCCTCTGTTTCTGTCTCTAAATGAGGATAACAGTGGAGCCTACTTCATAAGGTTGTATTAATGAGATAATATATGTGGACTGCTTTCCTTTTATCATGTGTCTGACTATAGCAAGTTCTAGTAAATATTGACTGCTAATGCTTTTGCTGTTATTGTTATTAATAATAAAGGTAATAGTTCTATTTGGCTAATGCATCAGAGTGGGCACACATGAGTGGGAGATATGGTGGAAAGATAGTAGAGAGCTGTGACTACCAGTAGAAAACTAAGCAATTTATATCAGGTCTATTGAGGTATAATTTACACTCAGTAAAATTCACCTTCTCTAAGTGTATGGTTTAATTAGCAAACACAGATAGTAGAACTGCAAGTTATAGAACGTCATTGGTAAACATTCTCTTGGGCACTTTTGTAGTCAGTTCACCCCCCATACTCGGCCTCTGAAAGCTACTGCTCAGATGTTTATCCATGTAGTTTTGCCTTTTCCAGAATATCCTCTAAGTAGAATTATACAGAACATAGTCTACTATCCCACACTTCATTTAACATAATGTTTTTGGAGTTCATGGATGTTACAGCATGTGTCAGTGGTTTGTTCTGTTTTACTGTAGAGTAGTATTCGTTGTATGGATTCACTACTATTTGTTTATCCATTCACCAATTGATAGACATCTGAGTTTTCTCCAGTTTTTGGCTGTTATGAAGAAAGCTATTATAAACATACATGTGTAGGCTTTGTGTAGGTATGTGTTTACATTTCTTTAGTATAAATACTTTGGACTAAGATGGGCAATTGTGGATTATGGAAATATAAAACTTTATGGTAACTTTATAAGAAACTGCACAATTTTTCTAAAATTTTCTGAAGCGCATCATACTGCCTTTTTACTTGCCATGTAGAAGAGTTCCAGGTGCTCTTCACCATCACTTTATTTTTTAATGTTAGTCCTCTTGTAGGTGTGTATGGAGTGATATCTCATTGTGGTTTTAAGTTGCATAATGACAGATATGTTAAGCATCTTTTCATGTGCTTGTTTTCCATTCATATCTTTTCTTTGGTAAAGTGTTGGTTCAGATTTCATGCTCGTTTAAAAATATTAGGTTGTTCGTCTTCTTATAAGAGTTCCTTACATATCTTGGATACAAGTTCTTTATCGGGTATGTGGTTTCTAAGTGTTTTCTCCCAGTTTGTGGCTTGTCTTTTCGTTACATTAACAGTGTCTTAGAGCAATTTTTGATTTTGATGAAATTCAATTTATTTTTTTTTATTGTTCATGCTGCTTGTGTCCTATCCTGAGAAATCTTTTTTTTTTTTTTTTTTTTGAGACAGAGTTTCGCTCTTGTTGCCCAGGCTGGAGTGCAATGGCATGATCTCAGCACACCACAACCTCTGCCTCCTGGGTTCAAGCGATTCTCCTGCCTCAGCCTCCTGAGTAACTGGGATTACAGGCATGCACCACCACACCCAGCTAATTTTATGTTTTTAGTAGAGACGAGGTTTCTCCATGTTGGTCAGGCTGGTCT